TTCTCTTCAAATTAACGCAAGAAACAATTTTAGTACACTATATACAAGTGAATGTTACCTTATATGCTATCAGATTATTTACATACAAATTCATTCATATTATAAAATGAAAATAATATTAATAATATACAAATATATAGATATAGAAATATGAATACTCAACAGATAATTTATAGATATATATATAGTGAAGTGAAATCAGTTATCATATGTAGAATACGAACACATCAGGGATGTTTCCGAAGATGAGGCACCATTTTCAATAAGATATACCGGGTGGCTACGGAAGTATTGCCTACGGAATATCTCAGTTATTGTATGAAGTAGGATTGTGAAATTTGAAGCGTCGATATAATGACATAAGAGCTAGAATTTAGGCATATTGACATGTCGAAGTTAACTTCCGGTCTGACCAGAAGTAACATCAACTTTCTTATTTTTGATGGAAACCCTATTTTTTTTTCTTTTCGCTTTATTCAGCATTCAATTCCCTTTCTAATGACATATCACAAGTTGGTATCTAACCAGAAACTAGATCAGAAAGAAATTATTATTGAAATTGACCGAGTAGGCCGTGGATGCAAAATGAAAGCCAAAAAATGACTTTCTATTATATCATTAGAAAGGAATGGTTATAATAGTACAGGCAAGAAAAAGTTGTATGTTCCTATTTAAGTTATAGACCTACAGAGTATTGTTTTTTTCCAAATTTTTCCAATATTTTTTTTGGCAGCTTTTTATAACGCCGACGAATGAAAATGAAATATCACAGTAGTAGCAACTGTTATCAAGTGACGTATGGTTTCCATAGCCAACTTTTCAATTTTCGGCTTTCATTTTGCTTCCACGGCCTACTCGGTGAATTTCAACAATAATTTTTTTCTGATCTAGTTTCTGGTTAGATACCAACTTGTGATATGTCATTAAAAAGGGAATTGAATGCTGGATAAAGCGAAAAGAAGAAAAAATAGGGTTTCCATTTAAAATAAGAAAGTTGATGTTACTTCCGGCCAGACCGGAAGTTAACTCCGACATGTCAATATGCTCAAATTCTAGCTCTTATGTCATTATTTCGACGCTCCAAATTTCACAAACCTACTTCATACAATAACTGAGATATCCCGTAGGCAATACTTCCGTAGCCACCCGGTATATGCAGAACTCATAAAAACCATTTCAGTAAACATCTCCATAAGAAAGTTGCCAAAACATTGATAAAATTGACCATGTTGCGGTCCTGTTCATGGTGTCACCGTTTGTTTGTAAAATGGCCGCACTTTGCCTAGACCGTAAATAAAAAAAACAGAATTAATGGAAAGTTGAATCAATCATCCCTCATCAGTTTCTTTGGAACTCTTATATAAGCGTTTTTTCATTCCAATAATGCCCCACCATTGAAAACATCCTGTGATCAAAAATGGAAATGAGACTCCTCGAAATTTCTTTGGACCCTCAAACAGTTGGGATTTTCAATATGTGAGGAAACATTGATAAAAATGCTGAAATTCTCTGAGATTCCAATGGACTCAATGAAATGCCATAAAATACCAATGTATGATTCCCTAGAATCATTTAATATTCCATTGGACAATGGAGTTTGATGAATGCAATTTTTACCATAATATACCCCTTGGAAAATATCATTTTTATCAGAATAATAAAATAAACAAAATTGATAGCTAAAACTTACTGTTTCAGGAATCCAAAGGAATTTTCGTCTTGCCCTTTTGAATTCTCGACAACTTGAGATTAATTTGAAATAATTTTGAGAAAAATATAGTTGGCCAGTCCTCCATATACAGCGTGTTTGAAAACTGCATGCTCATCAAATTCCTCGAGCATATTATCTAGACGTCAAAATAATAAGAAAACTTTATTAATATGTCAATGTCAACACCCTATATGTGAACAAAATGACTAGCAAAATTAACGCACCATTTGAAATATACTACAAAAGTTTATGTAACATAATCGTTTTGATAATAGCTCAAGCTTCGGAGAGAATTAATTATTCCGTATATTCTTCTAGGCAAAACTCAAGATTCAGAAAAACAATTAAAGAATGCAGTAAATTTTAGATGATGCAATATAATTTGATGGTCAGTGTTTATCGAAAGTTAACTCTTTTCCAACTCAATTATTTTGACACCAAGATTACGGTACGAAAGAGTAGTAACACTATGGGAGTTCTGACTCAAGAATCTCACATAACGCACATTTTTGAACAATGAGCTATCTCGAGGAACTTTTGATAATATTATTGTTATTACTTATGTTAACAGTGACGAAACATGGAATGTGGTTAAAATTTGCTGGTTTTTATTATAACAGCTGTAATATATTGACACACCGAGTGCTATGAAGGATTGGATTTGTCAGTTTTGGAAAAATGAATGTTTTTGGAAGTTGTCATCTATTTGTCATGTAGTTATCTGAATTAGACACATTTGATGTTTTTCTGTTCCTATTTGTTGTTTATAGAAAAAATCAATGTTAAAATATGAGATTATGTGCAAATTTAGAGCTAGAACTCTCTTAGTTTCACTACTCACGTGTGATTTCTGAACTGCGAACATTTTCATATTTTTCTCAATTACAATAAAGAATTCTCACGAAATTATTCAAAAATACATTAGTGATAATGTCATAGATAGGTAGTATTAAGACCAAGCTTTTTCTATTACTTTTACATCATTTAGTGAAATGAAATTAGTAGCAAATGTAAAAAGTTTTGCTAGAAAATTATCTATACTACAAACAACTCTATAAACAAACATACTCTCTTTGGTATGCTTGTTGGGTGCTGAAAACATGTGCTGTTTTAAAGAATATTTAACAGTGGCGTACCAATCTACTCCCGATCTATCTAGGGGCGGAATGAAAAACGATAAAGGTATATATTTGTATATTGGTGAAAAAAATCTAAACAAATGGGAGTTTAGCAGGAAAATGTGAAGGAATTGCAAATTAGTGAACTGAATATAGAATGATCGTAGAAACCTGAACTATGTTCGAAAGTAAACTTTATGGAATATTCTCGAAAATCTTTAGAAATTTTTCATATGTGTATATATTTTTTTTTCATCGATTCGCGTAGTTTCAGGATACTCGAAATATTCCAAGGGTGGGGACCACACTTATCACTGTCGGATTTGAAATTGAATTTTTTTTGGACTTTCAACTGATTAACGCCACTGGGTTACAAATTATACTCAAAGTATAAGTAAGTCAGTCTGTCCTTACAGACAGATTATGGAATATCACAATTCGCATCATATATATAATATATTTAAGAAGTTTTTTGAGAAAATTTACTAAAGTGACCAAACCATATCAGTTGTGAAGTGTTTTTTCGAAATTGTTTTCCATCTTCATATCATCAAGTTTCATCTTTTGAATCGCAAGAAAGAGAAGCCCTAAAACAATATATTATCATTTTCTTGGTTGAATTCATCGAATGGGATATTTTCTTTTTCTTACTACATTATTTGTTTGTTACAATTGATTTAATAATGCAAAGACTAGTCCATATATGGCACATTCAAGTAAAACTATGATTTCACCAATAAAACGATAAGTTATAGTGTCTCATTTATGCGATTCCTAAAAAAAACGATATAGTAACATCTGAAATTGATATCGTGACCATCGGAATATTTTATGAACATCGGAATGCATTACGTTTTTGATTGATCCTGCCACAATTATCAATCTCGAGAAAATAAGAAGACAGAGAATTTTTTGGATTCCAGAATATTTAATGTTTGCTAAGAGGCGTTTCTTTACAACTTCTGGTTTATCTGGAATTGGTACTCATTCTGAATTTGGGTACTTTGTTGCAATTTTGAATAATAACACGATAATGTGTTCAGATACTTTCAGTAGGCTTTGTAAGCGTTTTCATCAGTTTGAATCAAAATGAGGCAATCCAAAAGACAGAGTAGACATACTAAAGAAATCACGAATCCACGAAATTAGCTTTAAGAATGATTGTGTAGGCCAAACTAGGCAACCATTCAAAACGAGGTTCAAAGAACATCTTGCACAAAAGAAGTATGAATGATTGGATGATTGACGTGTAGAGGAGCATATTATGTTCAACCCCAATCATATAATACGTATATTCAGAACATTGAATTGATCAGTTGATCAAGCAAGTTGATAATATTTTAGTGAATTATTTTCATTCTGAGAGCCTACAAATAGTTGAAAATAGTGAAAGAATTGTAAATGAGATGGAAATACCTATTCCATATCATCTGAGTGGCATCATTGGCGTCAGAATTTTTTTTCAAATTTCAAGAATACGATAATAAGTAATATTAACCTGTTCCATTTGAGAATCCAATTTTAGTACCATTTCCGTGACTAGAATACAAGTATTTATACATCGAAGGGTGACGTTCATCAAGTATATTGTTGCTTCATATATTTCAATCACTTCTAAACTGAAAAAAGGGGGTATGCCTGTAGTCACACTCCTTATATCACGCCCAGGACTGACTTATAAAGTGGTAGAAAAATTTTAATCATCTCCATAATTACTCAGTGGTAATATAAATAACATGTTTCCAGTCCACAGCCTCATTAAATTCTACACCTGAATGAAGCTATCAAATCCGAGTACAGTTTGATTGAATTACTTACAATGGAGAAGAAAAACTTCATTAAATCAATACATAAAATACCTCTCACTCAAATTATACTTGGATTTTATAGCTTCACTTTATTGTGGAATGGATGAGCCTATAGATACTCGACACTGTGGAAATCACTTTTGTTATCATCCAATAATCATTAATGAACCTTAATCTCGCAAGTGTAAAAAATATAAATCCACTTCACCCCGAATGGTTCAATCATCATCAGTAGTCACCTTTACATCATATACCTACTCACCTATGCATACAGACTAATCACTAAACATAGTTCTCTAGTAGGTACTGTACAATAACCGAACTACCCCTCCACTCATAAAACGACAACACCGCCAAACCCGCTCACAGCTGATACCACTTCTTGTCCTTGTACTTGAGCATGAGGTCGTGCGCCGTGGACGAGTAGTTCTCCGCCTCGTTGCGCATGCGCTCAGCCTTATCTTCCAGCTGGCTCAGCTTGTCGCCGCGCTCGAGCATCAGCTTGTGTGCACGTGACACCTCGTTGGTGGCGCTCGAGCTGCGCTGGCCCAGTTGGCTCAGCTCGGCCGAGCTGCCGGGGATGTGCTTGGCCACGGCCTTGCTCGCCTTGCCGCTGGACTCTCCGACTGAAAATACGAGTCAAACTTTTGATGGAAAACTCCATATTCATTGATAATAATTTGAAAATATAATATACAACACATCAAATGCCTCTGAAAAACTGAAGTCATGAAACAGTGAGTCGAAAATAAGAAAAGAAGAAGAAGCATATTATGACAGCAGCAGCAGACATTTTGGGTCCGAATCACAGAACTCATATTACTAAGTAATATGAGTTCTGTGGTCTGAATTTGTTGAATTAGGTTAACTAATCCTAATCACAAATGACAACAATGACGCTGAGGACAAAACACAACATCAGAATGACACCATTCAAGTCAAAACCAAGGATTGATTCGAAGTGACATAGAACACAGAACAGAATTGTAGTTGAAATAATAAGGAGTTTGATAATTTAAGACTATCGAATTGAGTTTGTTCGTTGAGGCCATGTTGAAAATATCCACCTTTATTGAGGCAGTTGTGGTTGAGGTTAGAATTTTTGACAGCTGTATGGGTTGCATGCAAGAACTGTCAGTTGACCGACCCTGGAGGAACAACATTGAAACACAACCTCACTTTTCTTATTTGTTTACAAGTGATTGAAATAGTTTTTCACAATTATTTTGGCATAGGAATCGTATTTTTCGGCTATTGTTGAAACTGCATTTATCATGCGATGGATTTTTAAAATTTTTTTTTGGTACTTACGTATTTTTGTCTGAAAAGCACGAATTTGATGATGAAAATGTGAACAAACCACTATTTATCGAGATATTTCGAGAAAGAGTTCGAAATTTCGCCTTCTTTCACCCCTTGTGTTGAATGTATTTATAATTTGGTAATTTCTCTGATTTCTCATCAGAATTCCTTCTACAATAGGAGCTAATAGAAATACACATGAAATTTCTAAAATAATGCAAGAAGATTGAATTCATGCAATCAAACGGAAGGACTGGTCTGACATGCTGACGAAATATGATCGTCTGTGTTGTAGACATTTCAAATCGAGGGGTAAATCACATGGGAAGTCCGGTGTACCCTAGACGGGAATTCCTTGGGAAGTCTGGGAATTCTTTGGGAAGTCCGGGAATTCTTTGGGAATTCCTTGGGAAGTCCGGGAATTCCTTGGGAAGTCCAGGAATTCCTTGGGAAGTCCGGGAATTCCTGAGGAAGTCCGGGTATTCTTTGGGAAGTCCGAGGAATTCTTTGGGAAGTTCGAGAATTCTTCGGGTATTCTTTGTGAATAACTTGGTAGTCCCAGCAATTTTTAGAAAATTGAAGTCAAATTTCTCAACGATGTTCAGATATGAAAATGAATTTTGCGCAAAGAAAACATATATGGACTGCACAGTATTTTGCTTCAAGACCTACTTTGTTGATTTTTTTTTGAAGGAGAGGTACCGCGAGTACCGAGAGTACCTTGTCCCACTTAGAATATCATATGTTAGTCAGTCGTATTTTCATTCTCTTCAAGGTTTCCCGTTATTCGGAAAGATGAGAAGATCGAGAAAAATTTATTTTTTATTGAACATTGAGTTCTGTCTGGCGATCGATTTTTCGACGACTTCCCGATATCCAATCATGCTGAAATTTTACACATATCTTTGGGTCTGGTCAATATGGGTATTATCCAGATTCAATATGGTTATTATAAAGTAGAATACAATTTATAACAAAGCTTGAAATGAAATCCAATATGGCCGCCGACAAAAAAATTTCCTTTTTATACGAGCGTGCGGAAAAGTTACTTTACCCCACTAGTGCTGAAATAGTTATTTTTGTATCTAGAGCGCGAAATGCTACTTTGGTGATCAAGATCTGATTTTTTTAACGAAGCGTAGCCGAGTTAAAAAAATAGTCGAGATGACCAAAGTATTTCGCGCTCGAGTTGCAAACAAAATTTTTTCTACCTACGTCAAAAAATATAGTTCTAAAGTAAAAATATGCTTAACTTGATATTAAAAATAGTGTTGAACTGGCTTGATAGGTCTCCCCCTATCCTTCCTAGGTACGCACGATGTTCCACGAACATAATAGGAATTTCCTTTCGTGCGCTCCAAGAGAAAAAACAAAGTTATTGTTGAACATTCAGAGATAAATGATTTTGTGGATGTCTGCTCGATTGAGGACCATAAAGTTGAAATATAAATATCTCATTTATTTTACATAACAATGCGCGAAGTAGTTACTTCGCGCACTGTTTTACTTCGCGCATTGTTTTGTGCAAGGAATCAAGGTAACGTAGGAAACTGAAAAAAAGTGTCACTTCGCAATTTGTTATTAATGCGCGAACCTTGTCATTTTTTGATGTTTGTAGAAAAAGTTACTTTTCGCCACGATTTTTGTATTGTTGAAAATGGGGATATTTATGACTAACTAAATGATCTATGTAACTATTGAAATCTTGTTTATTAAAAACTTTTTTTTTCTCAAATAATAATAATATGGACAAAAACACTCGTGGAAAAACATTATACCTTACTCTTCTTGCGGCAAATGTCTTTTCCACAATTGACAGCTTGCCCGAACTCCGCCCCGCGTCGTTCGTGCAATAGCCGTCGCGTGCGGTATAGTACTACTTTTCGCACTTGGTTGGTAAATAACTACTGAATTCGTTCACAATTCCCTTGACATGGGTACCAAATAAGAGAGAATGACAAGTAGAATACAAAAACCATATGACACTACTTGAAATCCAATATGGGGCCGACACAAAATGTAAATGTTAATCAATTTCATTGAACACTTTGAAATACCAGACAGGGTGTGCCTAAAAGGTCTATACAAAAAATACCACATATTCCTCAGACCACAACAATTGAATTATATCAAATCTACCTACCTAAGTATAAAATTGCTCAGTTTGGGCGCTGAACGGCTCTGGAGAATTTTGTACCTACGTTGACATAGCTTTATCAAGCAATAAAACCCATATCATGATAATGATCGAAATTATGATGAATATCATTCCATGCTAGGCGTAGAATTCAATTTTTTCAGTAAATAAACATCTAGAAGGTACTCTTGATAAAATTCTATTACTCTCATGATCTCGAAAAAATTCGTAATTCTAGTAATTTAAAACATGTTGTCTACTTGTCTAGCGCTCTAACCGAGGCTCAAACTAAGCAACTTTGTACTGAAGTAAGTTTGCTTGTATATTTCGTATTGTTTTGGTCTGATGAGGAATATTAAGTATTCTTTTGTGAATACATATTAGGGACAGCCTGTATATCTTTGCAATTCGGACAAACGAGTTCACAGAAATATAAGTATGAAATTTAGCGACTTACTATGAGCCGATCTATAAACTGTAGAGTTAGTTTCATAAACAATCTTGATATAGGGGCCAAAACTTTTATTGCTACAGACATGTGGCATAGAGAAACATCCCGAGAAACATTTTGAAGTTTTTTTGCACAAAAGCTGAAAAAATACAATATTCTCCTATTCACAGATGTATACAATAATACAGGTAGGTATTGGAGAAATATCATCATTTACTTTATTTCAACCTTCGCTTCATTTCATTTCATTTTCATTGATTGACATTTTATTGTCGATTCCTAGATACAGAAGGTTGACGTTTTGTGCACGAGAAATAATAATACCTAGTAATTTTTGAATGTATGATGAATTGACATTCATCATACAGGACGTGGAAAGTAATTCTGAATTGATATTTTTATCACATGGAGAATGCGAATTCTCAATGTATTTCTTTATATATATATATCCATTTTTTTGTGTTCATAAATATATCTGAGAATGTTCATTTCAAATACCTAGTAAATTATTTCAACTCTTCTAATTGTTTTTTTACATAAACTTAGTCGTCTGATCTCTCGAATTTTTCCTCTTACTTTCAATTTGAATATAACAAATCTTTGCCATTTTCAATCTCTAAACTATTTCTTCTCGATAGATATTGGTACTTGACAAAAAAGTTGAACAGTGTGACCATGATAAGGTTGCGCACGAGTTTGCGCAGCATGATAGGGTCTCGCGAGGGATCTCGGAAACGGTAAGAGATACGAATTCGGTTAAATGAGAAAAAAATTACGCATTCCAAGGTTCATACCTGGTCATACCAATGGATTTCGAAAATTTACAAAATTGTTAATAATTCCCCATGGTTGAACTCAGAATAAAAAAAACTTTCGAAATCTGTGAACAGATAATCAGGGCCGTATTTGGAAAAAAAGTTGTTGATTTCTCTACGAATACAAAACGTCGCGTGGAGAAATCAATATCACCACGTTAAATCTCATCAAGAGATGCCATGTGAAAGTATTTTTAGAGTTTTCTATATATCTAATAATAACGTAGAAAAACAAATAGATATTCCAAAAGTTCACTTTCTTTATACAAGGTGTTTCTTAAGTACGTGTAAAAAATCCAGGAGCATGTTGCTGACGTCAAAATAAGAAGAAAAGTTCGTATAAATATATGTCCGAAAGTTATTCGTTTCTGAGATACAGAGTGTCAAAGTTGAATTCTCATTTTTGTTTTAAGTTAATAAATTTCAAAATAATTGTGATATTCAAATGAATTTTGGTATTTCGGGGTATTTTTCGATGACAATATCAAATTTTATGTTAGTTCATCTCTTTCGTGAGGGTGGCGGAACCTACATGTCTTTTGAGTCTTTTGAAAAGTCACAACTTTTTTGTGCGTACCTGTATCACGTTCTATAGTAGGATAATAGTTTTCTAGAACACGTTCGTGTAAAAAACATATTCTTCTGCGAGCAACAGTTTTCGAGTTATTGGGATTTTCAATAATCGATGCAAGTAATTTGGAATGACGAAGAAGTAGGAATTCAAAATTGATTTATCAAGTAGGTAAGGATTTTTTTTTTTAATAATACTGATAATAAAAACTGTAATTTAGACCAAATAAATACTAAAACAGTAAGTTGAGGGAATTGATTAAAGTAATTGTTCAAAATGGCCAAAAAAATGGATGCAAAGAAGTAAGAATCATCATTTGGCTACATTCCAATGTTGAATTGTTGAATGGAGGAGAATATTGAATGAAAGAAGAAAAATGCACTGACGTATCTTTTCAAACTGCTTAGAGTCGATTTACGAGCCCAATGGAATTAATTCAAATGCATCGATTGTTTCAAATCCCAATATCTCGAAAACAGTTGCTCGCATCGACCTCTACCAAGAATATACTTTTCACACAAAAATGTCCTAGAAATCTATTTTCTTACTATGAAACGTGATACAGGTACGAACAGAAAAGTTATGACTTTTCAAAAATTCAAAAGACATGTAGGTAGCGCCACCCCCACGAAAGAGACAAACTACCAAACTTCATTCGATCATCACAATTATTTTGGAATTTATTAACAAAAACAAAAATAAGAATTCAACTTTGACACTCTGTATCTCAGAAACGGATAACTTTCGGACATATGTTTATACGAACTTTTTTCTTATTTTGACGTCAGCAACATGTTCCTGAACTTTCTACACGTACTTAAGGAACACCCTGTATAACTGAAAAACTAAAAACAATTTGTGAAAATTTTCCAAAGCCGTTGGTATGATCATCAAAATGCGCAACTTGTTTCCCATTTAACCGAATCCGTTTCTTTTCCTGTTCCCGAGATCCCTATATTACCTTATCTTGGTTTCACTATACAGGGTGGGCCACCAGTAACGCCTCGGTCTCTAGAAGGCTAACCACTTATCTTCTTGGAATTCTTCCTCTCTAGGAAGTTGCATGTCAACATAGGCTACCATTTAAAATTATTTCGAAACATACAGGGTGTCCCCAAAAACCATAAAACACTGAAGTTAAACTTTTTTCTATCGAACACCCTATATATTATTTCATTTTGAGATTCTCCCCTGTGAGCTGATTTCAACAATCCATCATACTTGGGGTCTAGCAGTTATAATTACTGAGATATAGGGTGTGAGAAATCGAGATTTTCCAAGTTCAAGAATTTTTTGTGTCGAAACTATTCATAATTGGTCAAAACGGCTCACATGTCCCTATCTCAACTTCTGATCAACTATCTACTGACATTTAATTGAAACAAATACAGGGTGGTGCAGAATTCAGAATCTTGATCACCCGGTATATGTCCCAATTAAATATCAATAGATAGTTAATCAAAAGTTGAGATAGGGACATGTAAGCCGTTTTGACCAATTATGAATAGTTTCGACACAAAAAATTCTTGAACTTGTAAAATCTCGATTTTTCACACCCTATATTTTAGTAATTATAACTGCTAGACCCCAAGTATGATGGATTGTTGAAATCAGCTCACCAGGGAGAATCTCAAAATGAAATAATATATAGGATAGGGTGTTCGCTAGAAAAAAGTTTAACTTCAGTGTTTTATGGTTTTTGGGGACACCCTGTATGTTTCGAAATAATTTTAAATGGTAGCCTATGTTGACATGCAACTTCCTAGAGAGGAAGAATTCCAAGAAGATAAGTGGTTAGCCTTCTAGAGACCGAGGCGTTACTGGTGGCCCACCCTGTATTTTCAACTGTTTCATCTGAAATGAATTGGGAAAATCGACTGATGGTATTCTTCGTGAACAAAAGTGAAACACTTGTCGTAAACACAATTCTTGAATAACTGGGCAAATTAAAGAGTTCCGAACGATATCTCAAGAAGACTTCAATGAGCTGTTAAAATAATTATCATTCAAATCGGCAAAAGATTTTTTTTTCAATGTGTACCGGAACTTTTTTGCAAAATCTGTAAATGGTATACATACCTACTAATTTTTTATTTAAATAGGAAGAAACCTGTATAGGCTTCTGTCACTTGAATTCAGAAACACCCAGTAGTGTTAATGATACTTATCCGAGTACTTATCACTAATCCCTACATGTTTTTTCATTGCCCAAGTTTCGTCCTTGGGTTTGAATTCAACCTACCTATCGATTGACTTTTTTTGCATTTGCATTCGTAATCTACCTATTTTTACGCAAAATTTTGAAAACTCCTTGGGATGTATGATAAATCTTTAGGAAATCCCGGAATTCCTTGGGAAGTCCGGGTAGTCTCTGGGAATTCCTCAGGTAGTCCCAGGAATTCCAGGTAGTCTTTGGGAATTCCTAGGAATTCCTTGGGAAGTCCCAGGAATTCCGGGTAGTCTTTAGGTAGTCCCAGGAATTCCGGGTAGTCTTTGGGAATTCCTAGGAATTCCTTGGGAAGTCCCAGGAATTCCGGGTAGTCTTTAGGTAGTCCCAGGAATTCCGGGTAGTCTTTGGGAATTCCTAGGAATTCCTTGGGTAGTCCCAGGAATTCCGGGAATTCTTTCAATAAAGGAAGTCTAGTGTACCCAATTTCAGCCCGTGATTTACCCCTCGTTTGAAATCCATTAGGAGTATATTAGCTGGTATTGCAGAAGTGGCAGAAGGAATTTTAATAGGGAATGACAACATTTTATAATGATAAATATGTGAGATTACTAGCTATTTACCTGAAAAATCATATTCCTTCGTCTCTCGCTGCATTTTTTGTGCATTGTACAACAGAACAATGCGAAGGCATGCTTGAATAAATGAATAGCGCAAAAAACACGATTCGTATGCCAAAATATCGTGAAAAACTATTTCAATCCTGTGATTCCTCTGTAAACAATTAGAAAAGTGAGGTTGTGTTTCAATAATTCACAGAAGAATGAGGCTGTGTTCCAATATTTTAAGCCAGGGTTTCAAGGAGGTTAAGTTTTTTTTTCCTTTATCACAGATATGTAGAATTGGGATCAAAAGAGTGTTTGTCATTGATTATATGGTTGGGAAAAACAGAATTGAACTCGAAAAAATCTTTTTCTCAAAATTATTTTCTATGATACGATTGTGTTCTGATACTCTGGTTTTGAACTTGCGACCTGTTAATCAATTAAATTGTAAAAATGATTATTGTAGAATTTGCTACATTGGTCAAACATTTTATTTTATTTGTCATCATTTCTCTGTATGTGAGGGAGATACCTACTTGTCAGTTTTTCTGGAAATCATAGAGTTCAAATTTCATATTCAATCAAGTGCAACAAAATCTTCAATTTTTTAGCTGAAAACGAATGAAATGGAGTGATATCAACCAAATCGCATCAATAAACGAAAACGTCATTTTACTCACAGAGTTCCTCCCTATCTAACGATCGTACCCCACCACCGAAAAGCCCTTTGAAGAACCCTTCCTTAGGCGGTTCTGGCATATCCGCCGGCAAGAATAGTTCTCCTATCATTTCCGTAAGATTTGAGCTGAAAAAAAAAATCTTCATATCGAACATTATCTAGAAAGTTGAATACGTACCAAAAATCTGAGCACAGAGTGAATTTTTGCAACTCAGAAGGCGAGGCAAGATAGAGACCGTGTCCTCTATTGCTGAAATTGAAGGTCCTCGAAATCCTAAAAAAATCATTGGGGTATTAACGAACGCATAATTTTTCACCCAAACGAAAAATAGTCCATATCGTAACGGGATTGAGAGTGGCAGCTTTAAGATTAAAAAGCGAAAGGTTAGTTCGACTATAGCATTCATAACTAGAAGAATATTTTTGAAACTCTATCGGCAAGAGTAACCAGGATCTATAGGATGAACTCTAAGTAATGATTCTTTCTGAAGATAAGAGAAACAATTGGATGAATTATGTTTTTATACTTTCATTCGATTTGATGTGCCTAATAATAAAAATACTCCTCTAGATATGAGACCCATTTGTTGTTAACGAACTTACCATTTGAGACAAATAGAATTCATCAAAATGTACTATGAAAATTTCACACTTACTATACCTCGATTTTTTTTCTATTAGATGTTTGTAGATCATCAATCACGTTCAATCAAGTCATTAATTTTCAGTGTTATGCAGGTGTGAAATTTCCATTATGAAAATCCCCTAAGTTCATGAATTATTTACCTCCACAAACATTTCGAGAAATCAGATGATATTGTTGAAAAGGAATACTCTCAGATAAATTATGAACATACATAGATAGTTTTACTCGGTTTTAGTTGTATTATAGAGAGATGAAAATTGTGAATATCATGAAGAATGGCTGTAAGAATGAGTGGACATCATGGTTACTGATGAGGATTTAGAAATCGGAAATGGTTTCATTGCAATAAAGTCATATAACCTGTGTGTGAGAGATACTATTTCCCATATCACTGACGTGAATGATTATTTTTGGAAGTTTTCAAGCTCATCAAGATCAGAGTTTATGCCAGTATACTTCTATACATTCCAATTTTCATTTCAATGCTGAATATATTGGTAAGTTATATTTCTATATCATTATACATCATATTATTCATCCGATTTGAAGAAGAATGTCAATTCTCAATTTCGGAAGATTTTATTTTTTATTTTTCATGTGCTCCTTTTGGATGTTCATCAGATATAATTCAATGTTCGACGTGGCAAATAGCCAGGAAAGTAGTTGTTTTCTGTTGAATATTCAGAATGATGTATGCATATACATATTTTTGTCTGAAGGAGAGGAGAATGCAAATTCTCAATTCCAGAAGATTTTATATTTTATTTTCAAACTCTTATCGTGTGTGTTCAATAGATATAATTCAATGTTCGTCGTGGCATATAGCCAGGAAAGTTGTTTTCTAATGAATAAACTGAAAAAGAGTCGATATTCTCATTACATAGAGAATGCGAATTCTCAATGTATGCTTTATATAAATATATATACATTTTTGTTTGTTCATAATTTATCTGGGAATATTCCTTTTCAACAATTTCATACCCAATCAGGGGGTTCAAACTTGAACGATGGAAACTTGTGATTTTTATAGACCTCTAATCGCAGATTCGTGATAGAGTCTCAATTCAGAATTTATTTCCACGCCCTGTAGATGAATGTCAATTTATCATACACCCAAAAGCAGAATGATATTGTAAATAATTGATGCCAGAGAGAAAAAATACATGCAAATAAAGTGTCTCAAGGAACAAATTGTCAGACAAAATTTCGACATGCTTCAATGGAAATCCTGGTCAAAATGCAGTGCAAGTAAATGTGTGCTGAAGCAATTTTGAAGTGGAGAAAAGTGTTGAAATTGTGCTTCATTACAAGTTTAGAGAAACTGATTGGTACCTGATTAGTTTTGCACATTTATCAGTATACTGCATTTTATTGTACGAACCAAAGTTTGAGAATATGTTTCAATATTCTTATTCAATTCACATAAGTGTGTATGAATGTGTGTAAAATGAACATGCCTAACGAAAGTTAAACAATTGGCATCATTGTATATAATATAGTGAGAGATCACCTACTTGGATGAAGATGGCAGTGCGATATGTCTGACAGTGATTTCTAGAGTGGCGCCATCAAGTGTTCATTTGTAGAAGCCACACTATGGTATTAAAATTCAATATAATCAAGTAGGTAAAAGTCTACAATGTTGTCTAGAGTTTTATAAAACCACTCTAAACAACTTTTGTGAAAAATTACCTCACATACTTTGATGTGAGAATCGTGTGTTAGGTACTTATTGAGTTGAGCCTTTTATAAAATGAGTTCATTTAGAAGCTGACGACTACTGATTCTTAAACTGAAAAAAGGGGTGTTCATTTCACACACCATCATCACCGATTCGAACGATTTTTGTTGTTGTTGTAAAGCACGAACGTTTGATAGGTACATATAAACCCATAATATCTCGACTACACTTTTTCAAAGAAATAGACTAGTTTGAGGATTGTGGTAGCTCTCTCAATTACAGTATTTAGAGTTTCTATCAATGACCGGCGTACCTACCATCGTAGTGGCCATTGAAATATTTATCCATATTGTCCTCCCTAACTAACAAAAGATGATATCAACAAGCGATATACCGAATGTTCCTATTGATTGATCTTGAATTAACCATTTTCATATTCCGATTTTAGGAGTGAACACTATGTTCTATCCATAAAGTAACTGACAAGATGGAAACCTATTGTCTCCGTTCAGAGGAATGCAAGCAAATTTCAATTTTGCCTCTTTGGATATCCCCTTCATATTCCTTCATATTTAACTTATGTTCGTCCTTACTGAGAAAATTATTTTTGTTTATTCAGCTGTTCGATACTTTCCACGAACACAAAGTAATTATATAGAATTCTTTCGTGATTGTTCTTCATTTTTTTGACTTTGCCTGAAACACGGTTTTTACTTGAAACTTATCACAAACACGTCTCAACTAACTGAAAATTTGATACTTTACCGATAATTCGGCTATTTCAAACAATTTTCAAAATAAGGTGTCACTGACTATCAACTGAATTTTTCTTCAGACTCTCTAATAGTGACAATTTTGAAAGGCAGTGACATTTTGGGACAAATCCTCACTACACGTATATTGAAATATTTTTATTCATAAAATCAAAGAGAGAAAATTACAAAAATGTGAAAGAAATCCAAAAAACAATATTTGACAAAACCCAAAACTAGGCGGAAATTTTTTTTGAAACAATAATAATCATATTTCTTGAAAATGCGGTCTTTCTGTCAAGGGTTTATATGAACCTTAGCGTACAGTGATGCTAAATAAATGAGTAACGACCATCTCGAGTTAAGTTAGCATCTTCATGTGAAAGTACATGTAGCAATCATTGCTGTGAAATATGTATTGAATAAGGGCAGGGGCGTCCGAAGAAATAATTCAAGCGGGGGCAAGTCACAATAATAATGTACAAAATTCAGTACATATATAAAAAAACAGATTTTGCACGACCTATAAGCGGTTTTGCACCGACAAAAGCGGGAATACAGGGTATATAGAGTAGGTATTTTTCTGCCAATAAATCTACTACTATGTTTGCAGCAGCTTCTTCAATAGCTGTTTCACACATATCTGCAATATTTATTGAAAAAACTTAGGAAAGCAATTTAGAAAATAAGCTAGCACACTTTTTCGATGTTCACAAAAAGCAATATGGGTACTCTTATTTATCGGTAGTCATGATAATCAAACTTGATTTTGTGATTTTTGTGTCCAGATTCTTATTTTTATATTGACAATAATAATTGATTTTATCATAAGATTCTTTCAATTAAAATCGTCGAGTCGTGCAAACAATATTATACAGGGTGTTAACAAATAAGTGTCACAAGGGAAAACTGTAGATTCCTCATAATTGAAGAAACATTTCTTTCCTCTTCAAAACTTTTTACCGGGCTTCCGTTTTCAAGATACAGGGCGTCAAAAAATGAAAAATGTTCAGTTTAATTAAACACGATCTACAAAGCGCAGATACGGCCTGTTCTAGAATACTGTTCCCACATATGGGGTTCAGCACCAAAACATACGCTGATGCTCTTAGATTCCATCCAGAGAAGAGCCATCCGCCTGGTGGGTGACGCCACACTCACTCACTCTTTGACATCATTGGAACACCGTAGAAAGGTCGGCGAACTTTCACTTTTCTATCGATACTTCCACGGGAAATGTGCTTCGGAAATCTCTGCTATCATCCCTTCACTAGCAATACCAGTCAGACGAACTAGACAAGCCCAGTCAGCACATCCTTTCGTTGTCAACCTCGAAAGATGTCGAACAGCACTTTATCAAGACTCCTTCATCCATAGAACGGCTAGGCTCTGGAATTCATTGCCTAAGGAAGTATTCCCAACAACATATAATCTCCAAAAGTTCAAAAAAAATTCCAATACCTACCTCCTGTCCCTATCCTCCCTAGGAACGCACGATGTTCTTTGAACATTATAGGGATTCCCTTTCGTGCGCTCCAAGCGATAAAAAAAAAAAAAAAAAAAACACACAATTTGAAAACCAGCATCGAGACTAGCAGACTCAAGAACCTGACATTTGATTAAACATTTTATTAGACAGTTCTGAGGTGTTAATTCCCAGTGGATTTTTAGACGATTTTCAAAGATACCATCAGGATTTTGTGTATGTTCTTATTCATAAAGAGCCAATTTTCTCGGGAACTGTTCACTTTAGAGCATTGAGACAAGAGGACGTTTTTTGTGTGAAAGGTATTGGCGCTTCAGAATCTACTTTGAAAATTACAATTTCTCCAGTGGCATAAATGTTTGGGGGGTTAAACCCTTACGAGGCGTTGAATTGAAGAGCCCTAAAAGTAGTCATTATTGATGATGACGTGTATACGAAGGCTTAACTCCGTAGCTCAGACGGTTCCTGAGATAGTAGCAAAAAACTGTTTTTTTTTTTGTATTTTTTTGACGCCCTGAGAAAAATTTTTTGAGGAAAAAAAAATTTTCTTTTCTCATGAGCAATCTACAGTTTTCCGTTGTTAACACCCTGTATAAACCTAGGATGTGAATTCTTTCTTCCCTCAGTGCATTGTAGCACCCTCTTGCTAGAAAACCACCTCGGGAAAAATCATGCACATTACTCCCTCGATATATATAATCTACTATTATTCTACATAAAACATGAAATAAAGAAAAGAAGAAATTTAATTGAATTGACATCACATAGGTATTCTGTTCACAGCCAAAATTACAATAAAAAATTGCACGTGATAATCATCTTGTTCGAACAAAAATGGCATTCGATCTCATAGAGTCTTGTGCAAATTTACCAATTACTTCGTTGATAAAATTAACTCTATATCTGTTTATAAGATGTCGATGAATACTAATTTAAACAAAGTCTTAGAAAGTATCAGTTTAATAAGCGCTAATCAGAATAGGAATTGAATGTTGCAAATGTATCTTGTTTAGAAAGTATCTGAGTAAGGACCAGGCGCTAGGGGGGGGGGGCGAGTGCCCCCTCTTGCCCCTCTCCGGACGCCCCTGAATAACTAGTTAATGGGCTGTTATTTCAAAAGGACTTTCACATGAGAACTGTTACTCATTTATCGAGCAGAGCTGTACATATACAGTTCGATTTTCTGAACTTACTGGTCGGTATCCTCGTTTATAATGAGTTGTTGTCCCCAAATCGACAACATTGGGTCTACTATGCCTTTGTTAGATTGCGTCTGAAAACTGGCAGGGTAACAGAGGTAGATTAGAAGCAACTAGGACAGATATATGTCAGATCGACAGACAGCTAACACCAAGTGATATTCATAAAGGGGTGTGCTTTTCAGACATTTCTGGATCTGTAGGTACTTGTTTCAAGTGTTTTTTCTACGGCTAAGACATAAAACTGTTCTTTCTTCGATAAAATATGAGATGAGGATCGACCATAAATTTTCTCTTGCAACATGCTCGTCTACAAAGTAATTTGAAAATTTGCTGGAACCTTTCTCAATCTGAGCTGCTCTGAGTTTCTTGTTATGGAAAACGGAGTGCCTCAAGGATCAATTTCAGGTCCCGTGCTTTTTATCTTATATACACACGAATTCCATAAGCAAGTTCAGTTCAGCATGTTGTCTTTTATGCGTATGATTCGCAAACATTCCCCAAAAACGAGTTATTGGAAGCGAGCATTAGGCTCAATTCGGACTTTCAGCCAATTACATCGATATCAGAAAAATATTGTCTCTCCGTATCAAAAAATTCCGATAACTGATCGTATGCTGTCCGGACCTGTGCAGACACACTGGTACCAAATTTGTCATTGGAATATTCAGAATATTTATGTGTATTGTACATATTAGTTTTAGTTTGACAAGGTTGAGTAAAAGAAAGCACTTCCTCGTTCCTTTCTTTATAGGTACGTTTAAGAGCTAACTCTGCCATTTGATAGATATACTTATTTTTCCCTCCTCTGTAGTGCATTGTTTGTTCTTCATATCTATCAATAAAAGCCTTAATCATTATTATTATTATTGATCATCCTCAAAGTGTACAAATGAACAACTGAACGAAAGAAATACCGGGTGACCAGTTATATTCTGACCCATTTCAAATGCTTATATCTCTGAAACCATTCAAGTTATCGTTGTGCAGTTTGGACTAGTCTATTTTGATATTTTTCAAGTTTTTTTTGACAGGTTCACCTTCTCTCTTGAACTTCCGGTTCTACCGGAAACAAACTAGCCATTATTCAGGTATAGGGCAACTTTTTTATTTCATTGAATCACCCTGTATATTTTTGCACATTCAGAAAGACTGGACTTTTCTCTTTCTAACAATGTATAACAAGTTATGTTTTCTTAGAAAACTATCAGAGTTATAACTGTTTGAAACAACTAAATACTGCATGTGGAATGGTTTAATGAGATTTTGCAATGTAACCAAAGTCGTCTTTGGAAATCCTGATCACAACACATGAAATGCCAGATTAGATGTGTCAAATAAAGATTGTCGAGCATTTGTACTTTCTTCGAGTTGAAAAAATGTTTACTTTGACTGAAAAAGCAAATGAACTCATCATAAATCTGCATCAGATTTATACTCAATATACGGTAATTCAACATTTCAGGATAACATCCTTATATGCAGTAGATGCTTCAAAGAGTTATAACTCCGATAGTTTTCTAAGAAAACATAACTTGTTATACATTGTTAGGAAGAGAAAAGACCAGTCTTTCTGAATGTGCAAAAATATACAGGGTGCTTCGATGAAATAAAAAAGTTGCCGTATACCTGAATAATGGCTAGTTTGTTTCCGGTAGAACCGGAAGTTCAAGAGAGAAGTGAACCTGTCAAAAAAAACTTGAAAAATATCAAAATAGACTAGTCCAAACTGCACAACGATAACTTGAATGGTTTCAGAGATATAAGCATTTGAAATGGGTCAGAATATAACTGGTCACCCGGTATAAGAGATAGCTCTGAAGGAATATTTTTCATTGGAAGACCCTGTACATTCTAATGCCATTTTACTCCCAGATTCAAATATATGCAGTTTAATAAACATATTTCACATACTTTGAAGCTCATAGGTAGAATGAATAATCATCTCTCTCATTTTGTTCGTATGGTTTTTCATTATTAATCTCTGAGGATATTTGGACCCACCAACTAGATTTTGAAATTTCCAAATATCTTCATAAAGAAGAAAGTTACAAATGGAAATTTTATGGTAGATCACCCTGTATAGGTATGTCTTCACTTTCATTTCCGTATCTGATGAAACAAAGCTGACGACAGCTCTGTTTAATTGGGATTTTAGTAAAACAATTCAATAATATGAAAGTGATTCACTGTATATTCCATTCTATTTTTCATTGTTGAATGATTTCGCTATCATACTATATGTAAGAGCCGTAGAAAAAGTATAGTGCAAAACTCGCACGAAATGCTCATTTCCCACTCGTATAATTCGCAATTTGCTGCAAACTTCATACCAATGGGAAATGACTATCATTACGTGCTCGTTGAACAATATAGGTAATATGTTTTCATTGGAATCACATATTTGATGCACTTCAGTACCTCTAATATGTTGTTGCAAATTTGATGTTGTGTAGATGTTAGTACAGTCTATACAACATACCCATGCATCAAAATAACGAGTGATCGAAAAGTCCTTTGCTATCACGGTCTGTACTTGGCTGATGAAATATGAATTGAACCCTGATAGAACAAAAATATTCATAGAATATGCTTAGAATGTTCCTCAGAAACATTAACATTATTCCCATGAATTTACCTGATGGAATACTATAATGAGTAAACATTAGAATATTTAAAAAAAATTGAGACGAATTCTCTATTGGAATGATTTTATAATACTCCTCATAGATGGAAACATTGCTGGAAAAATATATACACAGGGTGTTCTCGAAGGTGAGACATTTTTTTAGGATGAATTGAAATACAGATCTGCCAAATATCGAGAGCCTCAATTATTACCAGAATTCTTTCGAGAACACGAATATTTTGAAAATGTTCTTAGTATTCGTAATCGAGAACTAAATTCCGGTCTTCGATTGAAGCTAGAGTGGTATTTTCACACCGAAATTCAAAAGAATACTAGGATAAGATTACGCTAAATGAAATACAGAATACCGACTTTATTTACGCAAAATATTAATAAGGCAGTTGATAATAGTTCAAACTATCACTCTTGACTTTATTTCACTGAAGTTGGTGAAAATATATTTTGTTACAAGGAACAGTATGTAGTATTAATATAATTCATATCCATAACTTTGTTAGGTTGAATAAAACACAATGAACTTACTTGAGTTACACAATATAATAAAAAATTAGTCCATAGTAATTCACTTTCCTAGTTTTGCTCACGTAATATTATTAGGTTGAATAAATGATTGAACGACTTTAGTTAAATGAAATAATGAAAAATAAGTCGGTTTTTTACTAATTGATTTAGCTAAAGTTGGTGGAAATATATTTTCTTACAAGGAAATTATCATCAACTCATAGAATGAATTCGACGAAATCTAAAGTTGAATGAAACTGTCATGTTACCTATAAACGTCAAACAATTTCCAGAGTGAAATGTCATGCTCTCCTTCGCCAAAGGAGAAGGAAACAATTTCCAGAAATTTGTATAGTAGCTATGGTACCGATACAAAATCTAGGCTTTCAATTGGTCGAGAATTTATAAGGTGTGAAATTTCCAATTGAACATTCACAAATTTTAAAATTGTTTTTTCTGTGCACTGTCAAACAATGTAGCACGATAACGAAAACAATGAACTTATTCACATGTTTTTGATTCATGTCCAGTGTCGCCAAAGTGCAGCAGCAGCGGCATTTCGTTTGTACACGGAACTATTTCCGTTTAGCAATCATCCAAAACCGCGAATGTTCGTCAATTTGGTGCAGAGGTGTCGGTGACATCAAATCAAATCGAATCAAATCATTTATTTTCCATAACTGACAACATACATTGTATAGGAATAGTCAAAGATACTAAAAAACTATGGAACTTACAAATTGAAAAAGAAAAAAAACTAGAAAACTTACAAACTGATGAGTGTATATAACAAGTAGGAATATTACGTACACAAAAACTCGTTCACATTATAAAAAACTAAAGATATTCTGATTTGTTTTCTGAAAACTCTTTCCTTTTTACAATTTTTTATTGATTCTGGTAATATTCAATATGGCAAAGGGTATCCGCAAGTTATTTTTTGTCTCGTATTGAAATTGTGTGTATTAAAATTTCTCGGTATAACTTCCCTATTTATATAGACAAATAAACTTGTCTCAAAAATGAATAATCCAGTCAGAGTTGTTCAGTTTTTTGAAAAGATCTCTGCAAGAGAGTGTCTTGGTTTTCCTGTTAAACACCTTCCAATTCTTTTTTGTGCAATGAATGTGTTCTTAGAATCGAAGGAATTGCCCCAGAAGTTAATTCCATATCTCAAACGAGATTCCATCGGTGCATAGTAAAAGTTCATCAATTGTTCATGAGTTAAAATAGACTTAAAATTGTACATCAAGAAATAGAATGAGTTTAGTTTAGATGTTGATGATTCACAGTGTGTTTTGAAATAGAGATTCTTATCTAGTTCAATACCCAGAAATTTCACAGTATCGCTGGTTACAAGTTGTTTACTAGATAGTTCGATAACGAAATCCTCACTGCTGTGACGTTGGGCTGTCAGAAATGTGAGGATTGAATAACAATTGATTCGACCAAAACTATCTCATCAAAGACTCTAATATGAATTCATATTCATTTTGCAGGATATTATTGGATTTGTTCGAAATAATCAATGATATATCAACAGCAACATAGGTTGTTTGAAGGAACCAGAAATGGTGAATATGGACTGTAGTAGAGGGACTGTTAGTTTCTGAACTTCGTCATTTTGCATCTTTCAAATGGGTAATTTCCGGTGATTTTGTCTATTTTGATGTTCTGTTAAAAATGCCTCACTTCGTACGAGCTAATTATCATCAGTGTAGTGTACCATCTTTTGTTCTAACCAAGTACAGTCGTGCCTAGACTTCAAAAACCCATCGAACACCTGCTATTTCAGAGGAAAACGGTGGAAAACCAATGCTGAAAAATGATGGTGCGGCATCAGCTAAATCGTGTTAGTAGTCATTGAGTCAAGTCAAAGATTGTACCTAGCCGACCGACGAATTCCCTTACCTGAGCTCAGAAAGGGGCAAGAAATCGATGTCCAATAACGGCCTCAGACTGGGCAAACTAAACGCCATGAGATGACCATTGGAGATGTAGCACACCAAACATACGCTATCTAGAATGGAAGTTTTCGATGTGGTATTGAGGTCACAGCGGCAACTTTAACGCACGAAGATCGAGATGTATCAGAAAGTGATGAGGCTGAGGCAATATGTTAATTAGAGCCTAGCCATAGCACCACTTTATGGGAAATATTGCGACGGTGGCAGGTCAAGAGCGTATAAAATTGTTTTGTAGTTTGTTTTGCCAGAAGCGTGGTGGTCATTGAAGTAGTATTCCTTCCTGCGAACGAAAAGACCGGGGTTCGATCCCTACTCCAGCTAATCTTTTTTTTTTATTTTTTTCGAAGTATTTAATCGAAAAAATACTATGGAGGCACTTATTGGTTAGGCTGATAGTAATTCGCTATTTCAATTATGTTTCTTCTCAGGATTGGCCGTAAATTTTCAGTTTCTCGCGCCCAGCGAGCAGCGAGCGAGGCGCAATATTACCTCGCTATGGTGCTATGACTAGACTCTAGTAATATGTTACAGTAACTACATTGAATGCCATCATTGACTTCTCTTCAAACGGCATAGTTCAAGATTTATTTATATTCGCTATTTCGAACAATAGCAGTCGTACCACCACCAAACAACGATTCCCGTGAGTCTTCAATACCGACGGAATCTTTCGTCAGTAGAGAAGCATATGGTATTATTCTACCAACGGGAGGGCTCTGATTACTTTACAAGAGCTTTTTCATATCGTTTTGATTGCTATATTGTGTGAATAAGATTCAGACTAAAGACACACTAAATCATCTCCACAAATTTATTCCCAGCTAGAATTATCTGAACATGTTTCGAAGTGTCGTTAGTCCATCATCAGCAGTATAATATTCAAGAAATTTCTTCAGAAAAAAAGTTTATACATTGTAAAAATGAAAATTACCTTAGGTTCATAAGTGGAAAAATGGGGGCAACAGCAATATAAGTTATAAAATAAAATGTGAATATTAATAGATGGCATTACCGTGACAGAGATAGAACGGCAAAGATTGACATGACATGACACAAAACTATCAAATAGCATGAAACAAAGAATTTCGAACGAAATTCATGCAGGACCGTAATGAATCATATGACAGAACATGACAAAAATTGAAAAGACCGGGCAAACTGAGAAAACATTCAAGATAGGGCAAAGTAATAACCAAGAAGGGAATATTCCAAATTTGAGAGAGTTGAAAAATGTTTAGCAATCAAAATGCTTTTGTTCATTCTTCGCTGTTCTATCTCTGTCACGGTAATCATGATATTCATGATAGGCACCATTCCATTTTTAACTACCTGGATGACCAAGTGTTGGTACCCCCCATTAAGCCCTCTTTGCCCTATGAGAACTTTGCCCTCTATTAATATTCACATTTTATTTTATAACTTATAGGTCCCCCTTGTTTCACTTCTACGTAAGTACATAACCTAAGGTAATTTTGAGTTTTACTATGTAACGAATTTTTTTGTAGAAATTTCTCGAATCATACTGCTGATGTTGGACTAACCATAGTCCGAAACATGTTCAGATGATTCTGAGAATACATTTGTAGAGATGACTTGGTATGTCTTGTATCTGAAATATGTTTTTGTACTTCGTTCAAAGTAATTCCTTGTAGCATTCTCAAACTCAAATTGAATCGCTGTTTAAATGCACCCAATGAAACACCTTTACTGTATTTATATGGATCGACGAATTTGGAGTTATCACGAGAAAAGATGCATCATCAGTCTCGTTAGATGCATCAACAGTCTCGTTAGATGCATCATCAGTCTCGTTCACTTTCTGATATACCCGAACATAGATGAGTAAATACCTCTCAATGAAATAATTTCTGCCTTGACCACGAAATCGCTATCCGCCAATTGTTGTCGGTACACGCAAGTCTGCGATGGCAGGGCTACCACTCTGGCTTGCTTTTCGCTAGCTATCACAACGAACTGTCTATCGGAAAAATTATCTCCTCTCAACACGCAATCTCCCCCACCTAGCGTCGGGCTCATTCTATTCTGGTTCCTCGTTGGAGTCTCTAAAAAAACATGAGAATATTAGTCAGTTGAGAAAAGTGAGTGAGATTGTGAGTGAGAGTATGAGTGAGAGTGAGAGAGTGAGTAAATGAGAGTGGGAGAGAGAACGGAAGAGTGAGAGAGTGAATGTGTGTGTGAGTGAGAGAGTAAGAGAGTGAATGAGTAAGGAAATGTGTTAATCAGTGTGTGAGATAGACAGACAGTCAGTCAGTCAATCAGTCAGTCAGTCAGTCAGTCAGTCAGTCAGTCAGTCAGTCAGTCAGTCAGTCAGTCAGTCAGTCAGTCAGTCAGTCAGTCAGTCAGTCAGTCAATCAGTCAGTCAGTCAGTCAGTCAGTCAGTCAGTCAGTCAGTCAGTCAGTCAGTCAGGTCAGTGAGACAGTTAGTCAGTGTGTCAGTAAATCAGTAAATGAGTGAGTAGATGTGAGTGATTGAGTGAGTGGGTCAGTGAGTGAGTCAGTAAATGAGTGAATTAGTGATTGAGACAATCGGTGGATGAATGATTGATTCAGTATGTGAGAAGTCAGCGAGTGAGTGAGTAAGAGAATGAATGAGTGATTGATACGGTCTATCAGTGTGTGAGATAGTCAGTCAGTCAGTCTGTCAGTGAGTGAGACGACTATTCAGTCAATCAATAGATGAATGAGTGAATAATCAGTTACCGAATGGAGTGAGACCGTTGGTCAATCTGTCAGTGAATCAGTAAATGAGTGAATGAGTGTATGTGAGTGATTGAGTGTGCGAGTGGGTCAGTGACTGAGTCAGTAAATGATTGAATTAGTGATTGATTTGGTTATCCATTGAAATAATGAATGAGCGAGTAATTGAGTTAAGCAATCTGTGGCTGAATGAGTGAGTTCTGAGTGAGTGAGTCAGTTAATGAGTGAATTATTGATTGAGACAATCGGTGGATGAATGATTGATTCAGTGAGTGAGAAGTGAGCAATTCAGCGAATTAATGAGTGATTGATACGGTCTATGAGTGTGTGATATAGTCGTCAATCAGTCTATCTGTGAGTGAGACAGTCAGTCAGCCTCTTGTGAGTAACTGAGTAGGTGAGCCAGTGAATGAGTGAATTGGTGATTCAGTTAATCAATTGACGAATAAGTGAATGATCATTTAAGGAATGAGTCATTGAGTGAGTGAAGTCAGCCAGTGATTGAGTATAAAAGTGAATGAGTGAGTGAATCAGTCAATCAATGTGTGATATAGTCAGTCTATTAGTGAGTGAGACACTCAGTCAGCTAGTTGTGATAGTGAGCCAGTAAATGAGTAAAATAGTGGTTCAGTCACTCATTGGATGAATCAGTCGTCAGTCAGTGAGTAAATGAGCGTGTGACCAGTTGAAAGCTTACTGTCTCTCTTCTCCTTTTGATCGTCCTTCCACGATTCGAAAGAGTAGGGTATGAGGGCGCCATTGCAATCCAAAAAGGACATGGTAATGATGGGACCCTTCAGCCTGAAGATGGTCGCTCCGACTAGCGAAACGACGACAGGTTGCGAGGATCTGCTATCGGCGTCCGGCGGGCTTATCAGTATCGTTATCACCGAGCCCAAACTGGTACCGACCCACAGAGTTGGCGTCAGGACAGTGGGATCTGACGAAACGTTCGTTAATTTTTTTCTACTAGCGTGCAGAAAAGTCCACTTTTCCGCTCTTATATTTGAAGAGTCACTTTTCTGAACTAGTGCGGAAAAACTTTTTTCTCCAAGCGGCAGGGAGAGGTGCTTTTCTCTGACACTTAACAAGCAGGAAAAGTGTACTTTTTTTGCCTAGGTAGGAAAAGTTTGTTGCTATGCAACGTTCCAAGAAATTTGGATGAATTCTACTACTTTGTTGCACACACAGTATCACAATCACTTAGTGCAGAAAAGTAAATTTGGTTAAGTTTTTGGGGAGTATACTGACATTTGGATATATAATAATAATAATAAGTTTTGCGAATTCACCGCACGCTAGTCGAAAATAAAGAATAACTAACAGGTGCGTAAAGTGACTTTTCCGCACTCGATTGCAGATGACCGATCGATGCTTAGCAGAGTTCGGCCAGCAATCTGGGAAGAATCACTTTCCTCACTTGTTAGGTAAACTACTATTTCCTACTAGCGTGCGGAACAGTAAACTTCTCCGCACTCATTTTAGTGAAGCATTAGTTAAGTTTCTAGGGAGTATAATAAAATTTGAATATTTAATAATAATAAATGTTTCTTCATGTTAACTTTCGGTTTTTTTTTTCGTATACTAGTAGAGAATAGAAATAGAGTACCTAACACGGGCGTAAAGTGACTTCTCCGCACGTGAGTGCTGGCCGAAACTACTATATTTCATTCAACAAGCAGCCAGAATATGATATCGCTTCGAAATCGAGGTACAACTCTACTCATAAACAGCGGAACCGTTTTTTATGAGCAACCCTGTACTCTAGTGGGTGTTTCGATGACTCACCTGTTTTTTTTGTGTAGGAATCTACGAAAGCGAGGCACTGTATCGATTCGGAGGTGATGTTCTCCAAGGAACTCATGGAGGAGGATCGAGATCTCGAAAACGAGCTGTCCAGCTTATCTACACGGCCCATAAGAGTAAGAAGGAAATTAGTTATTTGAGTTGAGAGCGGAATAAACGTTGAGCTAATCAATACACATGCACGCTCACAAGCTTTCCTACTAGGATATTTTACAGCGATATGACAGTTTCAACATGCCTGGTATGCTGTTAGTTAAGTAAATGTAGCTAATTTTTTGCATTTGTCCGGAATCATTTTCATTGGACCAAATGAAAGCAAAGGAATCCAAGATGTGAGAATGAAAGTAGTGTCTCATTGGCATTATTTTGATTCGAAATTTTCTAATATTTTTTGCACTCGTCATCTGGCCAATGAAAACGACTCATGGTCTTTGGAGGAACCCCTCTGCCTTAATATATTATATAATTATTCACAGACAATAATATTTCAATGAATTCCGTTTGGTTGTATTTGAGATTTACATGAGGCAATTTGCCAAGGTAATCTATAATATAATGAGTATTATGAAAATTATGCATATACTGAGGCTTATCTCATACAAACTGTTTTTTTATCATAGAATTTCATTATTTGAGAGAAGCGAAAACAAATTTGCCAGTTTTCGTTGGTTTCTAAATGAGAAATATTTAAGAATCAGTTTGCATATGTGATATTGACCATGCATATAACCAAACTTGAGAGTGATAGTTCGATATATCTAAAAAGATTTGTGCAGTGTAGGAGTTTTATATCCACAAAATGAAGGAAACTCTGTTGATAAAATTGCTGAAGAAGATAATGTCTCGGTGAGTTTGCTGGGGGTTCCTTTTTACAGGGTGCGGTAAACCATAGATCATACTCTTGCTGGAGGTGAACAAGTTCATGACGTATTAGAAAACCACAACTGGACAACAGTAAAAACCTGATGGTTTCCGAGATATTGAAACTTTTATATATACAGGGTGAGTCATGACTAACCAGATACAGGGTGTTGAAATTAAAAAAAAAACGATTTTTTATTAATATCGTAAAAACCGACGAGGCAATCTTTGCATTGAAGCAAATGGTCAACATTTTGAACAATTATTATAAACCATCACAAAGTGAGTTATTAATGTCTTCCTGAATATTTTTTGTAAATTAATATTAATTATTTAACACTGAATAAACAAAACTCACCCAAATTTTTTTCATTTTTTTCTGCCAAAACGGGCATTATGATTATTAAGTAAACAAAAAAAAATCAAATGTAGGTGTAAGAGATATGGTTTTTATTTTTTTCCTTCAAAACGAAAGTAGATACGGAAAAATTTCAATGGACAAAAAAGTTACATTTTTAGTTATTTATTTGAAAAAAAATTATTACACAAAATCTACTGGACGATTTTTTTTTGTGCAAAACTATCCGACATAGCCCGTGGGCACGCCTCTGAAATTATTGGGCAAATTCTAATAGCTCCAAAAGATACCTTAAAAATGTATCAATAATCTGTAAAAAATTCATCAAATTCGACTAAATCGTTTCTACGATATTAATAAAAAATCGATTTTTTTTTTAAATTTAACACCCTGTATCTCGAAAACGAAAAGTTTCCGGACTTTTCATCGAGCAAAAATGTTTATTTCGATGTCCACTACCATCCCATAAAGTTTGTCGGTATGTTTATGGGACACCCTGTATATCAACTCACCTCGACCTCCTCTATCCGCCATTAGGCTATAAAGCTGGTTAGTCATGACCCACCCTGTATAAAGAAATCCTATTTTCATATTCCAAAGCTTATGACGAGAGAGTTTCTTCCTGTGGAACATTATATAATAGAAATTCAATTTCCTTATGAAAGTTCCAACATCTCGAAAACTGCCAAGTTTTTACTGATGTCAAGTTGTGATTTTCTGATAGAATATGAACTTGTTTATCACCAGTTAGACCCATGGTTTTTCCAACACCCTATACCTATCTACTTTTTCTACAATAATCTATTATCGATATAGCATGCAGATTTAGCAATAGCAGTAATTTTAATAACGTTCCTATGGAAATCTTTCCTAGTCAAAAAGAATTGAAGCTAAAAGACAAAATGAATTAACTGATAGTGAGAGAACTTTGAAAAATTTCCAAATTTCATCACAGAGAAAACAATTTGAATTTTATATAGTACACCTGTAAAGTGCAACATGCAATAACATACTGAGTATGCACAAAATCATTCATTAGCATATTTTTATCCAGAGAGCATTGATTGTAAATGATCAACCATATTTTCTCAATCCAAGTATATCAATAAAAAGCGAATAAAAATATGCTACGATTGATACGATTTGTAAAAGCAAGGGTATATTGTTGAACGAAAGATACGAAAAACAACAAAATTAAACACAAACGAAAAAGATAATTGACGGGATTTCAGGTACTAACCGAAAGTCGTGCAAACTATATTTTTGACGAACTAAATCAAACAGTCAAAAAACTATTAGAAAACAGAAGAAAGTTAAGATCTGCGGTTTGAACGGACGAATTGATTTCTTTAGAGGACTGTGCAGCACATTTAACATCAAGTAATAAGGCGAGTTTTCGGGAGAGTAGAAAAGTAAAGACAAATCATCATAGGCACACAGATTTGCAAAGATTTCATTGAATCTGGATAAGATACAGGTTTGGAAGTACAAGTCACCTCGAATGACATGCTGAAAAATATACAAAATAATATGTGAGTGAAGTAAGAGAAGTGAGTGTTGAAAATAAAAACGATTAAGTACACAGCTAATAGTACCGGAGATAGGTAAAAATTGGTTCAAAAAATTGTCGAACTCATTATCAATATACACCGTGTCCCAGCTAAAATGTCCCCCTCTAAAAAATCAACCGCGCGATCGAATGACTTGAAATTTGATGATGCTCACTCGAAATATGTAATTGAATAAATCGTAGGTATACAGGGTCACACCGAAGTGCACCTCAACTTTCTTATTTGAATAGGGACACCCAGTATATTATTCCATATTCAAGTAGAGTTCATTATTACAAATTCAACAATGCCGGGTTTGATGGGGTTTTTTCAAACGATTGCGAAGATGTGGCAAAAAAAAGGTTCAATAAAAAATTTATATGATTGGATTTTATTAATATAATAAGATTAAAATCGAATGATGGGTGTCCTGCACATAACTACAGACCCGTAAAGGATTATCTTCGCCATCGGTTTGGAGGAAATCTAATAACCACCACTTGTCTCGATGGTGATAGCAACTGGCCAGCTCGGTCGCCAGACCTCACCCCACTTGATTTTCATTTGTAGGGCTACTTGAAACAACGAGTTTATGAGTCGCCAATTGTGAATATGGAAGAAATGAACGTTATCAAAACAGCTAGGAAATGTTTGCAGCAGAATGGACGAAATATTGAGCAGTTAGGTTTTAGTTATTTTCTTTTCACTCGATTCATTTAAATTTAATAAAATATAATCGTATACATTTTTTATTGAATCGTTTTATTTTTTGGCATATCTTCGTAGTCGTTTGAAAAAATCCCATCAAACCCGGTATTGTTGAATTTGTAATAATGAACTCTACTTGAATATGGAATAATATACTGGGTGTCCCTATTCAAATAGGAAAGTTTGGGTGCACTTCGGTGTGACCCTGTATACCTACGATTTATTCAATAGCATATTTCGAGTGAGCATCATCAAATATACTGGGTGACCGAAATTCAAGTCATTCGATAGCGTGGTTGATTTTTTACAGGGGGGCACATTTTAGCTGGGACACGGTGTACACTCAGCGGCAAAAAAAACCGGCCACCAAAAAATTTAGCCAATTTTTTTAATTCTTGTCCGATTTTCATTGAATTTGTACCAAATCGTATCGGAATGTTAGCCTGACTATAAGGTCTAGGGAAAAGCTGATGACTTGATTATTATATAGGGAAAAACAAAAGGTACTCTTTCACCTTTAACTTTTTATCGCCCTGTGGCAATGGTGAGTTGTTAAATTCAGGTTCATTATGCTTGGGATTGAAGTGTGATACATTCTTAACACAATGGTTTTTGATTCACGTCGATAACCACTTTCTAAGAGAAGATACAAGTGTTTTAAAAAAGCATGTTTTTTATTTTTATTAACAATAATCGATAATTCAGAAGTTTTTTTATGTATGATAAATTGCTAGTCATCATACAGGACGTGGAAAGAAATTTTGAATTGAGGAAACCTAATCACGAATCTGCGATTGAAAGTCTATAAAAATAACAAGTTTCCATCGTTCGAATTCTCTACTTTAGAAGATTTTGTTTTCAAATTCTTATCGTGTTAAGAAATAGAGAGTAAAATTGTCACTTTGGTATAAAGATCAAGTCATCAGCTTGACACGGAAACTAATATTCACACTAACATTCCGGAACATCAATCTTCGATATGATCAAAATTTCAGAAGAATCGGTCAAAGATTAAAAAAGTTACAGGATGAACCATTTGGGCAAATTTTTTAGTGGCAGTTTTTTTTTGCCAGTGAGTGTATTTACAATTTGAGAATAATCACGATCGAAAAAACTATTTCATTTCAAACGAGTTACCCAGAATAGCTTCCAAACTGAAGCCACGAACATGTTGGAGCTTCGATTGCCTACTCACTCCTTGCGACTGTCAGCAAAATATTCTGAATATTCGTTTTCAAATTTGCAATTAAAAAGGACTTAAACAGCATATCTGAGAGACCCCACAAATATTTTGCCTTCTATAAATAGGAGATCTGATATCTATAGAGTCTCAGGTAAGGTCATGTATTTTTTTCAGAATTCTATCGTCACTAATCACTAAATCAATATGCACTTTCCACTGTGTTAGTAGGAACCTATATCAAATCGATGAACGTGTTTTGTTCAATGCATCCATTAATATCTTCCACCTTTAATTCATGACAACAAAGTGGTTATATTCACTTATATTCTCCCTAGTAGCAGAATTAATTTGTACTTGTACATTTGTACTATTTGACACATCTCCTCTGTTTGACGAAGCTGGCCCCAAAGCTTCAAGTGTCTATAACTACCTATATACATGATACAAAAAATAATCAAATCAAATAATGAGTCAATCAAATAAAGTACCTGAGTGATCAAAAGCAATAAAAAATATAAAATGGTGTAAAAATCGTACCTACGTCAATGATAAATAAAAACGTTTCATAAAAAAAATCGTTAGTTAAAAGAGGAAATATACAAATGAAAAAGGGTCACTCATGTTTTTGTTGATAGAAAATTATATAAGAGTCTTGCTGAGTGGGAGATTTGGTGAGAAAATGTTAAAAATTGGAGTTGATTTCAATATGATGAGATGAACCCTACGACCCATTCTGCGTAGATGTCAAATAAAATTGGACACTTAGGTATAACTCATTTTTATTACACATTTGTTATATGAAATCCACTTATAATCTCCGTAGCAGCAGAATTATTGCCGATAATTTTTTTCAAGGACACTCATGTTTTTGTTAAATAGAAAATTATCACGAGTCTTGCTGCGTGGGAAATTCGGTAAGAAAATTTCATAAACTGGAGTTGCTTTTTATATGATAAGAAGATGAACCCTACGACCCATTCTGCGTAAAATTTTACACTTAGGTAGAACTCGTTTTCATTACAAATATGTGGGAAACATTAAATAACAAATTTGTTATATGAAATCCAATGTCTTCATAGTTTTAAATTCAAATAAAACTTGAAAAAATATATTTCCGATGAGTTAGTTAATTAAATATTACGCTCTATACTTTCACAATAGATGATTTTCTTTGTTATAGTAACTCAGGTTTATCACTTAAATGTCAGGACCATTAAAAATATCAATTCGTTTTCGACCATAACATCTGATATTACATGTCAACACATATTTCCGATTGATTGATTTAGTTAGATTGATTCTACTTGCTAGTAACTAAGATTTATTATACTAATATTTCAGGAACATTGAAAACATTAATTCGTTTTCAACCATAAACATCTGATATTAAATGTCCACATAGTGTCAAATGAAACTTAAAATAATATATTATGTAACAAGTGTTATAAACGTCATTTTAGTAACGAGCATTTTAAGCACGAGCGGAGCGAGTGTTTAATAAACGAGTATCTAGAAGAGTTTATAAATTTTTTCTACGAACTCATAATTACTTTCTTCGACAAGATCCTATTATCGGCTAACCTACAAAATAGTTGGAATGGGAATTGAGAACAGCATCTTCAGGTGTCCCTCAAGGATCAAATCTTGGACCTTTACATTTTCTAATTTTCATAAACGATATTGCTGATCATATCCTATCCCAAAAACTTTTATTTGCTGATGAATTACAGAGAAATTAAAGATGAAATGGATAGCATTGCATTGCAGAAAGACTTGAATTCCTTAAGTCACTGGTGCTTCCAGAACAAACTTCAGTTGAATATAAATAAATGTATAAAGTTATGACACTCACTCGAAAAGTTGTTCCAGTCACATTTAACTATGAGCTTGATGACAATATTCTAGTGCGAGTCACTGTGCCGCCTTCTAATTGGTTCAAAATAATTTTCTTGGTAATTCTTGTTCCTTGCATCTTTCAATATGTTTAAATTGGTCAGGAAAAAATCACTGCGGCTCTGATGTAAATACTTGCGTATAAACACGAGCGTTTTATTTCATGACTTCGTTATTATTATTATAGATTTAGTCATCTTTCACAGTTCCAACATGTTCGCTGCCTTGCGATTTTTGGAAAAAATCGAAATACACTTCAAGAATCAAAGCAAGTATCAAAGCTTTCGTCATCTTTCATAGTTCCAACATGTTCACTGGCTTACTATTTATTCTAAGGAAAAATCAAAATACACTTATATTTTCTGGATGGCTCGTTGAAATGATGATAATGGAGATATGAGCGTCAATTTTTCAAACTCTATTGTGTGTGGCATCTCAGAGAAAATCTACGGTGTTTTCAAGGATCTACAACAAACTCAATGTTGAAATGCAGCATTTTCAAGAACTGTTCCAAAGAAGGGTACTGCTATTGCTTTCTATATATCAAGTCATAAAACAAAATTTTGGCAGAGATGTCAGATATCTACGACGAACAAGATTGAAGGCACTAATCAATTCTACATGATTCAACAGTTTATGCTATGAAGTGGGTATTTTAGAGATGCTACTGGTTGATTCTTGGAAAATAGATTTCAGCAAGATCAGAAAATTAGAATTGAGTTACAGAATAGGTTTTACAAGAGGAAATTATCCAGTATGTTTCATACCAACCTGATTGTAAAAACTATTCAAGCAGTGTAATCGGTTTAGTAATTCAGCTAAGTGAAATTAGTTTAGCTATCTTCTACAAGAATGTCTACAGATTGAAAAGTGTAATTTGAAGAACAATGTTCAGACATGTAGGCATCATTAGAAGAAATGATAGAAATGATAAATGACTATATCGAAAAGGCAAAAGCAGACTTTACGATTATCAGAAAAAATATCGTTCTTGACTATATCGATATATGTAGATGATGATGTGTCGGATGAGTAGAAAGGAGACCAGGTGTTCAGATTGACCAATATACAAGGTGTTATGGGAGTTGCGGCATGACGCAGTTGGTTAATATATAAGAAACACGAGATTTTAGAGAAAAAATATAGTTTTTAGCAGACGGCAAATTGCTTACCTGGTTTACCAGAACAAGAACATTTTGTGAATACTTTTGGAATTGTTGTATCTCCTAGAAAAAATGGGGAAATGACAAGTCATTGCTAAGAAAACGAAAAATTATGAAACAAAAAACCCAGTTAGTGCAGCAGCGGACACTTGAAAGTTAATTAAGAAGGTAGTTTCTAGAATTTACAGTAATTTTTTGAGAAACCAGGTAAGTATTATACAGTGAAAAAACAGAGGTTAGTGATAAAACTCCAAAACTGATGCACACTAACCTATAACAATCAGAAATACGTTATCTAAAAGATATTAAGAAAATGCACTTTACATAACTACCTACATGAATTTTCATCCAAGGGTATTTCATTACAATGATTGGTTGCATGTTTTGTACAAAGATGTCGGTAGGCATGTTATACTCTAGAATGCATCTTAAAATTGATTATGGAAATGAGAAAAATGTGAATGTGAATTACTTTCAGCAGGAAAAACGAAATCAAATCCTTTTCTTGAGTAGAAGAGTCCGGTATAGCTGTCGTACCTGTCACCCTGTACAATAAAATTCGAATAAAAAAAATGCGGATGATTATTATAACACCAATATTTGATTTCGGTGGAGATATAGATGCTGATACTTTTCGTAACATTCCTTTGTTACAACATATTTTTGAGACCATATTTTTCTATCGGCGAATTGTAGAAGTGAGTCATTACTTCTTGGTTAAGTTGAAGCCTAAATAACACATTGGATTTGGTCAACCAGTCACAGCCTGGGAAGAGTGGAGCAGGTACGTATTCAATAATAATAATAATGAAAATGATCATAATTATTATTATTACTGTAGTAATCATAAATAGGTTTCCTTGTGGAGAAGCCACATGGAGAATCCCAAACTGAGACACGATTAGCATGAATCAATCAATTATAGATTCTGATTTTCAAAGCACTCACAGAATTTTGTAGAATGATAACAAATTCAACAGATGTTACGACCGTCTTGAAAACTTCTATCGATGAAACCTCGCAGTATTTTTTGAGCAGAAAGTGACAACACAGGTAATTTTCTCATATATGTACCCGGCCTTATGCTGGCTCATAATATGTTGGCCAGAATTGGCAAGAACGGCAAAATTCCTGTGAACATTGATGGGCGAGTACCAATAGCAGACTCTGGCCGTCACAGGCCGATACATTCAATTAAAAAAAAAACGATCTCCACGGGATTCGAACCCTGGTCCTTATATTCCTACTGAGCTACTTCACCTTTATTGAAATGATATATGTGTACGGAATTTATTTACTTATACAAACGATGAATAAGAAAAAACTTCCGATTCTCCGATTGACTACCGAATTGTCATACCTATTTTATGAGTCAGACGATTTACCTATTATTTTTATGGCGGAATTTGATGACTTTCATGATGATGACTAGCAATCAGGACGCCGAAAAATCAAATCGCTTGATTGATTGAGGATTTTAATTTATCAATCGAATTATGAATTCTAATTTTTGTGTTCCAATTAATAGTGCTGCTCCTAAGTTGGCGTCAGGAGTTAGTAACAAATGAATGAACATTAGTAGTAGTAGTAGTAGTAGCAGTATATGTACTTGGTTGGTAAGTATGTACATACCAACTGGCGAGAGGTCCTTCAGCTCATTATTGTTCTGTGTAGGCTTTGTTACTCACCTTAGGAGCAGCACTGTTGATTGGAGTGCTACAGCGAATCGTACGGAATCATCTCTGGCCCAGGCCACGAAAATTATAATTTATAACTCGTTTTATATACAATAATTCTTTGCTCTTCTGGAGATCCGAACCTATAGCAACCTTTCGATGATTCGTAGTCAACCACTGCGCTACTCCGCAGTCTTGAAAATAGATTTGTCAATTGAAACTAAAATATAATCATACTCTATTTGGCACGGTGCCGACTAGATTATAGTTGAACGATATTAATATGTCATATAATGGCTATACGATTTTATGACGTATGTAGAAACCTAATACGGATTGACGCTATTGGCCCAATGCCGGCTGAATTATAGACAAACCATTACAATATGCCATACAATGGCAGTCGTTAGACCAGTGCAGCTTGGCCATGGCCGGCAATCTGTCGATCTATCATTTACTGGGCCAGAAGACGGCCGGAGATTTGATGTTTACTGTGTACCAAACAAATTTCCTTATAATGCGGTGATGCTGTATATGGCGCCTCCACCAGTGCTCCAGAATCAATACCATAACTACTAATGTTAAATCAGGTGATATCTTTCCCGAGTATCTATACTTCTCATCGTCACCTCAGTTTATTCATTTATGATTACCACTTTGCGTGCCCTACTACAGTGAGTCCACAAAGTTTAGCACAGATTCTTTCAAAATTCAGGTTGACATTTTTGAAGTATACACTGAAATAAATCATGAAAATCATCCATTTTCTCAAAGTGGTCCACAGTATTTTCAAGAAGAAAAAAACTAGGGGCTGAAATAACTCGATTAGTTCTCCAGATCACACAATATACGACAATTTTCCATATACAAGGTGATTTCAAAACGAGGACATATATTGAACACATTAATATGATTCACCCTGAGAAATATTTCTTAAGTTTCAGATTTCTTTCTACCTAGATGAGTAAGTCCGTGATTCAAGATTATTCGAATACTTAAGTGTATATCTTTGGGTGAAAAAAAGGTCCCCGAATCATATTTTGATCACTGACATTTTTCATTGTTAATTCGATGATGTAGGTAGGTCCAAATTCTATATATTTATTCGAATGTTAGCCAGTGGATCGTTTGGAAGTTATGACGTTATCAATATTTATTTCAATGGATGTTGAAGCAAATTTCACTTGTAAATTTCCATATAATTTCTATAGGTTTCTAAAAATTTTGCAACTCAAAATTTCATTCTTGCAAAGAGAAATAGATATTGAGAATGTTGGCGTGTAGAATCGAGTTTGATATTGGCCAAGCTCAGACTGTAGTGTAATTAAAGCAGAGATCCAACCAAATTTATTATTACGGGAACGAATGCACTCAGGAAGTAGAAGGTCGTTTCAAACTAGGACATAAACATTGCGGTATTAGAACTCGGAATGTCTTTATCATGTATTTACAGGGCAGATATTGGAATTAATACTGAGCAATATTATTTTACGACGATGAATTCACTTAGGAAGTAGAAGGTCAAACTAGGATAGTAAACATTAGGGTATATGAACTCGAAATATCTTCTTCAAGTATTTACGAGGCATGAATAGAATTTAATACTGAGCAATATTTTAACGGGAATAAATGCACTTAGGAAGTAGAAGGTCAAACTAGGACAGTGAACATTTCGGTATATGAACTATCTTGATCAAGTATTCAGGAGGTATAAGTAGAATTTAATACTGAGCAATATTATTCGAAGAATTGATGTATTTAGGAAGTAGAAGGTAGTTTCAAATTAGGACAATAAACATTGCGGCATGAGAAATTAAAATATATTTATCAAGTGTTGTGAAAACACTCAAGGAATCTTAATATTTTTCTGAATATGGGGTACAAGGATGTATCACAAGACTCCCTTTCCCATTTAATTTTTTTCCCAGATGACGCCCAGTCGTCATCTTGAAATCTTCATCTGTCAATTTTACTCCAAAATATAGTATTCATGCATCAGTTTCATTATCCCATGTTTCAATTTTTGACATTGAAGAATATATATCCAAATAAATGTGGTTCTGAGAACTAGCGCATGCACAATGTATTATCATATAATACTTGAAATCGATGGGACTTAGAGGCATTATTAAAAATCTTCTAGAATCTTATGTTCCGAATAGGACAATCAGCACTAAATGTAAGATGTCAGAGTCTAATAGACTTCGAAGAGGTGAAGGTGTTCCACAGGGATCTGTTTTAGGGCCATCTTGTATTTATTATATGTTCAGAATATTTCGAAAATTGGATTATTAGGTAATTATACTATATGTATATGCAGATGATACTGTTCTTTTATACGAAAACGAAAACCCCATCATTCTAGAAAATATTGTTAAAGAAAATTTGAAAAAATTTGGAAAATGGCTTAATTCGACCATCAATTAATACCAATTAAACTAAATATATAATATTCCATCAGAAAAATAAACAGAATATTAGTCTAGATTTCCCAAATTAAAAATAAACTATTGAAAAGATCTACACAAATGAAGTATCTTGGTATTTGGATTGATGAAAAATTGAAATGGGACAAGCATATAGAGGTTCTGATACAAACATATCTCCAATCATTGGAGCTTTGCGAAGATGTCCTAAACTTGAAAAAAAATCATGAACATAGTACTCCATTCTCATATCCTCAGTCGTGTTACCGATATGAAGAACGTTTGGGAATCTAGTTCAAAAAATTATTTCAGTAAAATATCTGCACTTTATAGGAAATCTCTGAAACTATTGTATCGCCTTCCATTTGATATCCCAACAAACGATCTGTATGCGACAACAGAAAAATGTTCATTGCATGATTTGCATAAAATAGATTCTCTTGAAGTTTCGTATGATATCATAAAGAAAATCTGAAATTCAATTGTTTCATTCATTTGTTTTGAGAAGAAACTCAGAAATTCATAGTCATCATATGAGACAATTGAACGTATTTCATTTCGATTCTGCTACTTCCATACTTGGCAAAAAAAAATTACTCACGCTGCTCTAGCTGAATTTTACGAAAGCGTAGAAGCGCCATATGATATATATTTTTTATAATCGACAGATATAACTGTCAACTAGCCTAATTAACAGATACTGAGTGGTGAGTAGCTTACTTGACAGATACTAAGTGGTAACTAGTATACTTGACATATACTTGAATGTCAACTAGCCTAATTGACAGATACTAAGTGGTAAGTAGCCTAATTGACAGATACTAAGTGGTAACTAGTATACTTGACAGATACTTAAATGTCAACTAGCCTAATTGACAGATACTAAGTGGTAAGTAGCCTAATTGACAGATACTAAGTGGTAACTAGTATACTTGACAGATATTAAGTGGTAACTAGTATA